CTCACGCTGCGTGCTGGCTACATACGGTAGCCCATGGCAACCCACTACCACAGGGGCTGCAGCCTACGCCATCGCCGGCGACTCACAGCAGCCCAGCTCCAGGTTGAGCTGTTGTTCAGCATCTTAACTGTAGAGGGCAGTGTCACTGGCCCTCATATGTGGGATCCGAACTGGGACCCTCTGGCATCCCAAGCCAGTTCTTAACCATGGCGCCACTCGGCCGGCCCCCGACATGTTCTTTTATATTTAGGAAAATATGTTGAATGTTATATAAAAAATTTTTTTTTTTTTTTTTAGCTGAGCCATCCTGCCACCTGTTGGTAGCTCAGCGGCTGCTCAGCTCGAGCTGGGACTTGAACCGCTGTTGCTCAGAGCTTGCACTCCTGAGCGAGCTCTTAACCAACTGAGCCACTTGGCCAGCCCGTTATATAATTATTTTTTATTTATAATTAATTCTTCTTAATAATTATTGTGAAAACACATCTGTGTTTCAAGATGGATCCCAGAATAAGTTTTCCATTATAATATATGATTTTGTTTTTTGTTATCATAATGAGCACATTGTAATCTACTTTTTCTTCACGCAAAAGGAAGGTGGTTTCCTTGGATTTTATAGAGGCCTGATGCCTACTATATTAGGAATGGCGCCATATGCAGGTATGTTTCAAATTTGGCAGAATCTTGGTTTTTTATTTCTTCTAAGAATGATTTTTAAAGTTTAGCATTTTACGAGTATATTTAAGCCCCTAATTCATCGTTATTCTTTTCTTCCTTAAGGGTAACCATTTTACCCAGCATCATTTATTAAGTAGTCCATCCTTTCCCTAGTAATCTGCAATGCTACTTCTTAAAACATTAATAGAGTACAGTTTTATAATAAGTCTTTATATGTGATGGGACAAGACCCTTGACCTTATGCTTTTTTTCAGGAATGGAAGGATCATAGATATTTTGTATTTCACACACTTTAGAATCAGTTTTTGATGCTGCACAAGAATCCTTGTTAGAATTTTGAATGAAATTTCACATAGTTCTTAGATATTTTTGCTAGATATAGAAATAGACACCTTATAAGCTTTGTTATATCTTTTAGAAAATGACTTTCAGTTTATTACTTGATATAATTTTTATATGATCTTATAATAACTGGCTGTTATCCTACTTGATATAGCCAGCCACCATGTTACTTGTAGATTCTTTGGGTTTTCTACGTGGGTAAATCACATTGTGCAAATAATATTATTTCTTACTTTGTTCTAATAGTTTCAAAATTTATTTGTTTACCTTATCTTACTGTACTAGCTAAGGACCAATACTGGAGCAGTGAATAGAAATGATGATCCTGGACACTTTTGGCTCATTACTGATTTTAAAGGGAATGTTTCAAATACTTCTTCATTTAGAGTAATGTTTATGGTAGTGTGTACCAGTTATCAGGTTGAACAAGTTTTGATAAGAATGTTTATCTGAATTTGTGTTAAATTTTACCAGATACCCTTTTATGCATTATTGAGATGATCATATAGTTATCTCCTTTAATCTATTAACATGATGAATGACATTACTAGATGTTCTAATATGAACCCAAATTGGTTATGATATAATGATCTTTTTATATCCTGTTGGATTCAATTTGCTGTTTTTAGAAGTTTTCCATCTATATTCATATGTGAGATTAGCATGTAATTTTCTTGTAATAGCCTTGTGTGGTTTGGGTACCTAGGTCTGAGAGAATGAGTTGAAGAGTATTTCTTCATTTTCCATCCTCAGGAAGAATCTGCATAAAATGATTAGAATTATCTGTTTCTTGAAAGTTTTCATTGTGGGATGATTTTTAAATACTGGTTTAATTTTTTAAATGATTGTAGGGTCATTCACATTTCCATGAGTCATTTTTGGTAATTCATGCCTTTCTTTACCATTTTGAACTTGACTATTTTGTGTTAGTTTTCAATTTTTCGGCAAAAGGTTTTTTTTATTTCTTCATATTTTTTCACATCTGCTCTATAGTCATGTCCCCTTTTTCATTTTTATCTATCAGTTATTAGATTTTGCAAAGAATAAATTGTGGCTTTTTTTTCTTCCCTACTCTACCTTTATTTTCCATTTTGTTGATTTTTGTTCGTGTCTTTATTATCTCCTTCGTTCCCTGGGTTTATTCTTCAGCTGGATGCTTACCTTATTAATTTTCAACCTTTGGGTTTTTTTTT